ATTTTATTGTATGTTTAGATATTCGAACTCATAAATCACGATTACTCCTTCCTATGTAAATGAGAACGCATAACACTTGGAATGAGATATATGCTCAAGGTAGTTATGATAAGAAATTCGATTTATTAGAGTTTTACCGGCTGTTCTCTTTATAAATTCAGTTTTAGATAATATGGGTTTGATCTGTATTACTATATAACCAATAGGAACATATTGATTTCTGGTTAGACTAAGGCGATCGAGTGTTATAACATTGCACAGACTACAACCTGTTTCCGGCTAACACTAACTACCGGCACAGTCAGTACTGATAAGCTGCCGGGTGTCCACACTCGTATCTAAATCCCTAACTCAGACTGATCACATCGCGACCAGTCACCACAGACGTGATTGTGTACAGAACTGTCATTCCTTATGAAGTGCTTATCTGGATTCTGATCATATCCTTGTTTGCTCTTATCTTATCTTAAGTTCCAGTAGCCAAAATATACATCGTTATGAACGAATTAATGCCAGAAAATTGGCTGTAACTTGTGTTGCAACTAAATATCAAGACGAGTTAGTTTCAAGGCGAGCTATCAATCCGCCGAAAAGTGTAGGTGAGCACTGGCTGAAATTGCACGACGCCATTAAAATGGTGGGTAAAGTGGCTCGCGTTTTTGCGAAACGTCCCTCTGATAGGCATTATGTTGCCACAGACTCGCTACAACTCGTTGAGCCACGTATGTCTACTCCGTGTAACCTCAAGCTTATTCTGACCTTTATCAAATAACCCATCTAATTTGAAAATAGCGCAATCTTGAAGTATTGATACCTTAGTATATTACGTTATCTAATTCAGTAGCGCGTGTCTTATATTATAACCACAGACCTATGACTTTAGAGTCTGATGATGAAGTAAGTGAAAACAGTTGTTCGAACATATATTCTCCATTTTTGAATATCATATGAAGATTTTTAAACTACCAGAAGAATATTACTGAAATTACTGAATAGCTCTTGTTTGTTGATTATTATTGTAACAAACAATTGGAGTGTCGTCTACTTACTGACAATAAAATTCAAGCTTACTTGGTAGCGTATCTTGTAATTATTCATTTTCTACTTTAGCCTGAAAAGTATCGCTGATCATTTAACCTGGGGCAAATACCATTACTGTTCCATCTCTCTGTCAGTAGAGTTCGTTTTCAAGAGTGAAATCTATATTGATAGTGTATTTAGGCTGAAATGCCTTCATTTTCTCTGTTGGTACCGGTATCATTGTTATATTCTCTAAAAGTTGTTCAGTCATGTAATAGAAGGTTTCTATCAGTGGAATATTTATAAACGAAAGTGTTATGTTAGACCACCATTGGAAACCTGGACATATTGGACTACCGTTTCGCTTTAACATAGGATTCACCAGTAGCGCACATCCCACGACCTCATGAGCGTGGTAATTTAATCTGAAGTATGGAAAGTCCGAAATAACCTACTTTTAACAAAAAACCTGTTTTAATCCGTCTTGTATCAAAAGTAGAATTGTTGTTATAAGAGTTGAAACAGTGCTAAAACGAAGCTTTCATGCAACTCAACTATTTTCATTATGTAAATTCAAATGTTCCTTTAACCAAAACAGAAATAGATGACTACCATCTTGAGGTCACCTTCACGTGTATTTATGAGTTTACATGTACTTGCTTCTGCAAGTTCATAAGAAAGATTGAAAGAACGGCATCTATAAAGTTTCCTAGACGTATATTCCTTGAAAGTTGTTTTTAAAAGGAATTAAATTATTCCGATGGATAGTCGTCATAACATGGAAATCGAATAGGTATTTGATATAATTAACGAGAAGAAAATAACACTTTTACAAAGGCCATTGCCATTAAGCGCTTCCTTCCTGATATTTATATACATACAACAAGAAAGAGTGCTAATCATCCCGCTGTCATGATAAGATAGTTGTACTAGTTTGATTTATGTCAATTACATTGTCTATGTTACAATTGCTAACTTAAAATTTAAAAATCCCACTGATATTCATCAACGAAATTAATTTCATGTTAACAAAGTATTTTGATTATGATTCATTTTCTAATAAATTAGTTTCATTCATTTGTTTCACTATAATTATCATTTATTTGTGGAAATTTATGTGATATCTTGATATTTTGATAGAACAGTGAGAAGACGTAATTGATCTGAAAGATGTGATGTATTTGCGCCTAACATTTCGAAAAATCTGGTCATATATATATATATATATTAGTCAAGTCAAAAACTGACCACTTGATAATGGGAAATTTATAGTCTGAGATACATTCCATATTAACAGTAAACCTATTTTATTCTTGTATTAAACAATTGTGCTGTGTGTAGTTAACTCATTTCGCCTACTAGTTATTTGGATTTTTTTTCTTACATTTGTTAACTGAAAGCTGTGCATCAATCACTCTAACCAGTTTGTGTACGGTGTTTGTCATTAGTCAATGAAATAAACTCACTATCTATATAAGAAGTATAAAATAAGTCAGATAAAATGGGATAGTGGATTTTATGATTGATTATAGAGGGATCGAATCAGTTAAACAACACACACACACAGACACACACACGCCTATTATTGTAATATTTAATATTTCTAATCATAGAAATGTTTTAATTTAATGCTTTGCGTTTATCGCAGAAGTCATTGTTGTTATGACAGAAAATGAGATTAAACATTACGCTTACTTTGAACATCGAATATTCTTTGATATAAATGACCTGAAATTTAATTTATTAAATTTTACTTAAAATAAAATCTTGATATATTTTTTTGTCTTACATTAAATATTCTGTCCACACATAGGAGGGAGTAGATTTCAAAACACTGAAATTGTTAATCTGATGACTTTTCTTAGTTATTTAATCCCCAAGGGATAAGTATCATCGGTTAAATAGTGATTGTATATGCAAATGGCATGGAATTAGAATAGTTTACGTTTTCATTTTTTAATTTTTTTTAATCTGTTGGTAATTAGTAATATTTGACAGTGAATTATTGCACTTAAATTATTTTTTTCAGTTACACGATAAGTTTGTATACAGGAAATAATCCTTTTTTTGTCATGAGTTAGAGGTTAATGTTATTTTAAATCTCCAAATATGTGAATTTACTTATAATAACTATGTTTATATGTAGACTAAATTGTTCAATCATAATTTCATTAATTATGATATGGGATAACATTGTTTCACATTTCACAAGAACACTAATTGTGTTCTTGAATTTTCCAAGTAAACATAGTTGGCGAGAACTAACTCTTATGAGATCGGTGTTCAAGGAGGATCTAAACAGATTGGTTTCAGATAGAGAATATCAACGGAAACGTATAATGTTATCAAATTTTTTGGTCCAGTAGATATGTTGAAGTGTGAGCAATAGAATTCAATCATCTCTTGGGACTGGTCAAACATATTGATCACTATTAAAATGTTAATTAATTTGGAGACACAGTCACTTCACCATCAATTTAGTCTTATAAGATTTAGTTTGTTCGTTTTCTATTATTTCCACAAATAGAATTAATGCGTGAAAAGTGTTGCGTTTCATCATAAAAAAGGCAATGGGACATACATTGCACAAAGCACTCAAACTGTATTAAGATGCAAGCCATAACTTAGAACCCTCAAGACCAAAGGAAAAGATCAAATAACGCATTACACCGGAGATTGGAGGTAAACGTGCAAGGAATGAATAGCAGTTAAGAATAAATGGAAAGGAGACCCTAAGACAGAGTTGTTTGGCGGTCTATGCTGCAGAGTGGTAAGAGGGCGTAAGTAAGTAAGTAAGTAAGCATAAAGATTTTATCCGAATGTTAAACAACACTCAATTTTAGTGATACGAAGGATTTTCTACCAAATGTCACTGATTAGGAAGCACTGGACAGGCGTTTCGTCCTGGTATGGGACTCATCAGCAGAACGGAATACATTTTAATGTTTCGTCAATTAACCTGATGGTCAATATTATTTCCATGATTGATAGAATTCAGTTATTATCAAGAACATGAAATGGACCAGTGATTAGTGATCATTCTTCATAAGGCTTAATGTATACGAAATAACTTATTACATTGCAAGCTAAACACGAATCACCAACATATAACAGAAACCATAAGTAAATATAGAATACTTGAAATTGTTGATGCTCAAATGTACTTTATTATAATCATTATTCTGAATATTTTGTTTTTGTAACATAGAATATAAATCAATGTGCGTGAATAATTTCATCTGCTGGTTGTTTTATTAAATTAATAGTAATAATAATAATAATAATAATAATAAATCACATGGTCACCACATACACACATGTACACACACACACACATAGAGAGAGACAGAAAGAGATATGAATTATGATATAACTAACTGATTGACATTCACACACTTACTTACTTATAGGAAAAGTTTTTGTTCAGCAAAACGATGATCCAATTCGTAGAATATCTCAACTATGATGTCATGAGCATAGTGATGTTAGGGGTACATTAGACAGATACAACATTCATGAATTACTGTTTATCTATTGTACCAACATAAAGAAGAACACACTTGATAACAATAATGCAGAAAGAAAGGAAGAAAGAAAGGTATCAACTAGCCGAACACAGACAATAATATTTTTAACCAGTTTAACAATGTTTAATTAAGACATGGACTTGTCATAGACTTGTAAAGGAAAATATATTATGAGTAGAATAATGTAGAAGAACATTGAAATCAAAATTAGTATTACACTTAACACACACACACATACACACGCACAAGCACATAAACGAACAACAACTTGGTTTAAGCAAGAGTCAGTGTGTGTTACTTGTTTATTTATTGACAAACACCAAATTGAATGATCCGATTTGTTTTTAAGGGTTAGGGTAATTAGCAATAATTGATCAAAACAATATTGACACCTGCTAAATAGAATGCTGTAAATGTTTTTTTAAAAAAAAGAAGAAAACAGCAGCTAATTGTTTATAGATTAGTTTTGCCAGTATCTGAATTCGGGCGTACAATAGTATTCACATTTTGAAGTAGATGTCTACGTTTAAACCATTTCTTCAATCTTGGCTGTTTACTCATACATTCATTCCAAACATTGATTGATTGCATAATTTGATTGTAGACAAAATAACTACTTTTAGGCATTGGTGTAAATGCATACAACAGCTTGGCATAAGTCATTTTAATGTGTAATTTTTCATCGGTTTCCGGTGTTTCAATAAATGATGTTTCTTGTTTCTCCAAATAATCAAATAATTTAGAAAGAAATAAATCAATTGGATGTGGACCACATGGAAAATCGATTAATAATGCGGATTCATCTAATACATCACAATTTATGCACAAAATATTCCATATTACATAAAGTGTAAAACATGATAAATATCCTTTCGATTTGCATAGACTAGTATGGTGATATTGACGCATGATTGAATTTGTTCGATTTTTGTTCACAATTTGAAAATTTATCTTTATATTTTTTCAAATCGTAAAAATGTTGGTCACTGATGTATGAGCAAAATATAAAGGAACTAGAAGTAATAATTCTTTAATTCACAAGGTTTAAGTGAATAGGAAATTCACGAATAGGTGGATATTATGATGTGTTATCAGTGAGTTTTGATTGGTTGATATTTGTCAATGTAATTATTTTCTCTATTGGCTATTAAATATGAACCAATAGAAATCGTGAAATTGCCTTAGTAATAAATAATCACGAAACTTTAAATCAAATTTCAGCGATACATTTTTGACTTAATAAGACTCATGAAAATTTAACATATGGAATTTGAATTATTGAATTTTAAGCTAAATTATTGTGATAAGATATCATAGATAATCATCACAATGGCGTTGTTGCTATAAATCTTACTTCACATCATGATTGGAGATCAGTATTGGAAATTAAGCAGCACTCGACTGCAGAACTTCACAGGGTGATGATCCAAATCGGCAGTGAGATTAATTTCACTAATTTGAGTGAATGATGATAGCTCAGCGTTACAACTCAACTGAAGTCAAAAATGTAAACTAACTTACTGATTTAAAGGCTAAGCACTCATTGTGAATTATGAATATCTCTGGCTAAATCTTTAGTGAACCCGTGTATTTGAGGCATTAAATAGTCCGATACTTCAATAAAATAGCTGGTTTTCCATCACTGACTTCAACAATTACCTTAAACTCATCCTATTAACAATACAACTAACATTTCACTCTATGGACCAAGCTGTGGCAGTAAAATGGCTGTAAATTGTAATAAGCTCTTTGATTTCACTAAACTTTCCATTACTTTTTCACAGTTCAATAAAAAAATTATTGTACTGATCAAATGATAATTAAAATACCACCAATAAGTCATTTGATATTCTTTAATTTATGCATATAATAAAACATTTGAACGAGTAATATCGATTCATTTCAATGTCCTCTAATATGTTACACATTCTTTTTGATTCAAATATAAAGTTTATAACTCAAGCTAATAAAAAAATCAATCCAGTTTACCAATAGTGATGATCCTTAAGAAAATGTCGACAGTACTCATTTTATGAGCGAAATACCTCAAAATCGAAATCAGTCTACTTTCAAACAGTATGAATTCGTTTTAATATTAACATTAACACGCCTCTTATTTACCAAAATATGTATCATTCTCTTAAAAAAACACAGACACATTTACTGATTGTTTTTATCTTCTCACAGTAAATTTTATCTCATCTAATTCTTTCATTTTTATTTGATTATAACTATTCTGCATGTAGGCGATAAACATGGGCGCGATCCTGTATGTGTATGTGTGTGTGTAGGTTAATTATTCCCTTATGCAAAGCTATTGACAAAATATTCCCAGTTATGGAACCTATATGTATGCCCATAAATATCCAACTTTTTTTTGTTTAAACAAAGCTTCCCACTTAATCTTACTCTTCTAACTATACATGGTGAATTGATCATGTGTAACAAACATGCTTAATAACTTAATCGGATCTCAGAACACACATACACACACGAAAATAAAATCATTCAAATAAGTATAAAATGTAGAAATTTTTTATTTCATTCAGTTAAATAATTATTCATCTAGAAATTATTTAATTCGTCATATTACTATAGAAGAACAACTAACTCAAAGTCTAAAACATAGATATTTGCTTTGATTTTAAACATTCTATTGATTGCATCTATTGTGTTTTTCATCATTTGGCCTATTACACACCCGACAGCGTTGAACTCCACTGACCACAGCTTCTTAGTTGAAATGCAATAATTTCCTCATGAAGCTAGTGCCGGGTTCGATTCTTGCAGGAATACAACTTGGTATCAAGTTTATTAAACTCATAGTAAAGTCAATTGAATATCTTCAATACAGTTAAAGAATAAAATTACCATTGCATGACGGAACAGGTTGTCCAATACTTCATTCCATGATTTATAAAAAATGACAATAATTATCTTTGTTTCCAGTGGATTTCCATCGAATCACCGATTGCCGATGAATTTATTTTCTCAGATATTTTAACAATATTTATTCATATACATATAAACAATAGTATTCAATGTAGTACAAATATCAAGATACAAATTTGCATTGAATTTATTCATAAAATAGTCTTCATTTGAAAATTCTTCTGTTAGAGTGTCATCTAAAAATGTGTAGTTCAGTGAATGAATTTCTTTCCAAGCTATACGACCGTATATATATATATATATATATATATATATATATATATATATATATATATATATATATCTACGCAGATAAGAATTGTATAAACAATCTCAGAATCAGTGGAAAGTGAATGATTGGAATTCGGTCAGTGTTCAAGAATGGACTTCTAAATAATTTCCTTCCTAATTGATATTACCGCTAACTCTGTATTACATGTATTTACTAAAGCAGTTAAAATGGTAGGACGGAAAAACCGCCTAATATTAGATACTTATTGGTCTCCCATAACACAAAGTGAAAATTTTCAATAAAACCAATCCAAGACAAACCTTTGACACGCTGCCTAAAACAGATACCTTGGAAAATAGTTGCAATCTGTTCGATTGGTCTTAGGAACCTATTTTCAGCATAATATATTTGTTCAGCAGTTTCTTCGGTTATTTCAAAATCACAAGTTAATTTCAAACTAACTGGAAGTAATTCATTACAGAATAATTAAAATCAGGCTGGTAGTGTAATCCAAGACACAAGTTTTCGCCCAATCTGAGACTCGTCAGATGAATGTACCTGAATTCTATTCGATGATTTTACTACTTCACACATGATTTTGGCATTATGATAAAAATTAGGCTAATTTTATGATTATTATTTTAAATTTTTGTTTTATACACAGTATATATTATTCAGCCCATTAATTTAAAATTCCATCATGTTTAATTAAATCTTCACTCTACTAAGATAAACTCCGTCTGGAGCGCCTCTTGGGATACCTTCCGTCTCAACCCCGGATAAAGGAGGGTTGGGGACCCAATTCCAATGAAAACCAACTAGCTAAAATAGGGCTAACGAGAAAAAATAATTGAGACCATTTTACCTCTGCCCTAGGAATAAGGTCTTCATTCAGAAGAGTTATGACGTCTCATGATGAAACCTAAGTTCCTTCGAAGTCATAAGGCTGATGCCCAGTCTTACAGCCAGAGCAACCATTCTTTTGGGTAGATGGAATATTCGAACAATGTGGGAGACTGAGAGAGTGATCCAAGTTGCCCCAGAAATGAAAAGATACAACCTGGTGGTGCTTGGAACCAGTGAAACACTTTGGACACAGGTTGGACAACAAAGACTAGCTTCAGGATAGCTGCTGTTATACTCCGGCCATGAAGAAGAACAAGCTATGCATGCACAAGGAACTGCACTGCTGCTGTCCAAACAAGCACAAAAAGCACTGATAAGATGGAAATCTCACGGACTGAGGATCATTAAAGCGTCTTTCAAAGCAAAGAAAGGGAGGATTACAATGAACATCATCCAATGCTATGCACCTACCAAAAATTACGATGAAGAGATTAGAGGTTCAATTCTCACATGGAATCATCAATGCCAACGTAAAAGTGGAAGGCCAAGAAACAAATTACTTCGAGACATGAGAAAAATGGACAAAAACTAGAAAGAACTGGAAAGAGAAGCGCAGGACAGCGTTGGTTGGAGATTGTGGTGGTGTTTTGTTCTCTGAGCTGGTTGTTTTGGTTGGAGATTGCTAGTAAGTGGCCTATGCTCCATTGGGAGCAACTTGTGTCAGTAAGTAACGCATTTTGATTATAGGCATCTGTTAAAAAAATGCCATAGAAATAAAGTGAATTAATGTTATTCCATTCAAAACCAATGTTATTTACTTTTCCAGTTGAATAAAGAACTGTATGAACGTGATAACATTTTATTTAACAGTATTATAAACCTATATTGTGGACCAAAATTTAAATATAAATTGATGTAATAAATAATAAACTGGAAAGATGTTTTTCATTTATTATTATCAGCATCATAGTACACTGTGAGCAATAAAACAATTTCATTAGATAAAAATCAATTTGAGTGGCGTCAAATGTTACAAATTCCTAAACATCGTATTCATCTTAATTTCAAAATTATATTTATTTATTTTCGTATTTGTCAGAGGAATCCCAAAATATCTGTCGGAAAAGGTATTGAGACCCATAAACTCCAGGAAACGTTCCATTAAATCGGCATGGAATAGGACCTTCGCAGCAAAACCTGGAAAATGCAGAATCACATATCATGAACCTAGTATACCCAGTACAGGAGCTCAAGGTCAGAGGAAACTCTATAACTGCCGTTATTTGTGAGTGAGCCGTTCGTCTTGTACTTCACGCTTTTTCTCTTGTGTTCAAGTTACGGTGAAGATTTATTTTAGGTTTGTTAGCAGCTGATAAGAAATCAGATCTTACGTTCATGTAATAGACTTATTAGTACTGAAGATGTAACGTTCTTTGTCCTTATTCTCTCCACCATTTCGACTGTTTATTGCGTATTGACTTATGCTACTTATTTATACTCAGTAAACAGGGTTACTTTTAATAATTTCTCTACCATATAACACTATGTTATTGTGTATAATCTTATTATGCTCGTCAGTTGATAACTTGAAACTACTACGAGTTCACCTTAGTCAGTAAACGTGAACGAAGACTAATGATCCAGTGACACAATACGCTACTCTAATCCGAGCGTCCCAAGGCACCACTAAGTATAAGAAGTCTTGACACGGCGTAGTAAGTATATACTACAAGAATCCAGAAAATATTAGGTCCAGAAGCACACAAATCGAGTTTATTTATACATCATGGAAACGCCCTTGAAATATTACATCGACTAATAACAGCCGAGGATTTTCCAGGTGGGAAATGTAATTTTAAGGTCAGCTAATCGCCCCATGCTCGAAAACATAAAATCAATTGAGTGCTGGGGATCTAACGTCCCCAACACATATTATAGCATTTCTTATATTTACTCTTACGACTACCTTGATTTAACACTTGTTATGGCTATTCCCTATTATATCCGTTAGCCGCATCTTTTAATAAACACTATTATATTCCTGAAAGAGAAGAGTCATCTTTAATAAGTAATGTAGGCAAAAAAGAAACATAATTAATTAGGAAGCGGTGCGGCTACAAAATCATGGGTCAGTCAGCTACAACGCAGAACTTCGTACGTACGTACATTAGTTCAAGTCGCCTTAACACATCAGCACAGTGATTATGGTTCGAAGAAATTATTCAAGAAGTATAATCCAGTGAATGAAAAACGATTTTGAACAATATCATTCAAAGTCTCTAATAATCGGTTACTGTTGTCTTGTGGACCCCAACCATGTAATCCACTCATACTAACATAACTTAGTCCAGATGTGAATTACTTCATGAATTTGTGCCATGTTTTGTTCTGGTCGCCCTTAGCTTTATTCCAACCTACATCGCAAAACCGCTCGTCGGTGGTTGGATATACGTAACTGGTGTCCCAATAACCTAAATGGATGGAGACTCACTACTTCATCTATTGACCTACCATCCTTACATAGTACCCGTTTCTTAACAACCGAATTGCTTACTCGGTGGTCCCAGGATAAACGTGCAATGCCTCGAAGACACTATCGAACCCAACCGTAGCTGCTACCTTGACGTGGTGGTCGGGCTTGCCTATCGTAATGATCCAACAGAGTTATATTGACTGGAACATATTTTCCTGAAGGTTCTACCATGCCAGACAGGTCGATTGGAGAACGATGAGACTAAAAGCAGCTACTCAAGGTCTGAGGGCGAAGTCGTACTAATGGTTGCAGAGGGGTGTGACAGCAGTAAAGTTTTTCCCTCGGACAACCAGCATCTGCAGGCATGCTGCCTTCTCACAAGGAAGAAATGGTTAGAAAAACTCGACCCTAAAAATGTCATCTCAAGGATTTCTGTCTCCGGCGGTAAGGGTGCCCACTAAAGGCTTTTAGGTGCGGAGCTAATACTCAAAAAACCTTTCATCAAAAGGCTGTGCGTGACCGGCCTCAAGCAGTTGTCCCTTGGACTCTTCGGTCACGCTTCCAGGTCTCTAAGAAACACACTAATCTACCTTCCTTTTCAGGTTCCTGAAGAAACAACCTTCCACGGTGTGGGCAGTCGGGAAGTGACAACCGCCCTCATACCCGTAACAGTACATGAGACATAATTGGTCAAAATCAAATCCTTCCTACACCCACACATACCTCTCTTCTCTCCACAACTAACTCTACTCACATTCCCTTATCTCATTGCACCGCTAATGTAAACAAAGCGAGTTCAGGAAACGTCATTCCTGGTCTCCTGAAACCCCGTTCTAAATTACACGTCGGAAGGATAGGGACACTCGCCCTCACCTTTTTGTCGTATCTGCCTATGCCCCCACAGACTGCAGTTCAGACGATGTAAAAGATGAGATTTACAGAAATCTTTCGGACCTCCTCCGAAACGTTAGGCGCTCTGATGTAGTAATAATGGCTGGTGACTTTAATGCTCAAGTAGGTTGTCCGAGTGAAAATCAAAGACACCTGAGTGGATCTTATGGTGTCGCCGCTCAATGACAATGTCAACCGTCTGTTGCAATTGTGCTCAGATAACCTCCTATTCCTAGTAAACACTAACTTTAGGCATATGGAAAAGCATCTCTCGACCTGGCGACCCCCTAAAGTCGTCTAAACGTTGGACCCAACTATTTCACATTGCCATCAGCCACCGATGGAGGGGTTCGATAGAGGATCAGTCTATCAGGACCTGAAGCTCGCCCCCGCTTCAGATTTTCTAACGCTTTCTCAACTTCATAAAGACTAGGGGGACTTACGTCGATTTTCCATTCGGGAGGACTGGAGATCGTGGGTAACCGAAGAGTGGCTCGAGGCCAGCTGAACTGATCCCTACAGTGTTGTGCCCATCGGTCTAGTCTCCTGGATTGAGAATGGATTTCATCATACTTATTTGACAAGTCACAACACATACGGCAGACTGCTTTGCTTACTTCTAACTAATATCAGTACGTCTGATTCTAAGTAGCCTATAATCATGTAAATACTATAAAGACTCTAGGATTACAATAAGTAATGTTTTTTGAGATAGATTAATTATATACGTATAGTCCACTTAACGTCCAGTTTATATTTCAAGTTTATAGATGACATTTGACTGAATGGTACTGGATTTCTGAAATTTGACAAGAGTTTCATTCTATTTAGAACTGATTAGTAGGATTTCCTTATATTTCAGTCAGAGTTGAGGCATTTTAAGTGAGACTTACGAAACAACAAATAACAATTATGAACATAATAAACAGGATATCTGTAAATAAATGAATTCGTGAATTCAGTTATATTTATTATCAGTATATTTAATATTCAAAACATTTTAATCAATAATAAATAGATATTGAACATACTTTTATAGAACATTAACTTTAATCTGACCGTATAAATTATTTGAAACATGAAAAGTGTGAAATGTGAATGTCAACTTGACAGTAGAAAATAATTCAGATTATGTTTTGCTTTCATTGAAATAACAGGTCAATACCAATCATCAATTCAGCTCATGAACTTTCAAGCATGTTTCAATTTTACTACCAACCCTATTTTAGGTTAAATGTATCTGTTGTTACAAAATATAGTGAAATAAATTTAACCAAACACTCTGACTAACAACTTTTACAAAGTGATGTAATAGACCATAGAAGAAACACCGACCAGATACAAAAATATTGAACAGTTAAAAACAATAAAATCTCATTAGGACAATAGCTTTGATATAAATAATCAACATTTACGTGTCGATTTGTTCCTTGTAGTAGAAGGAAAAGGCAAAGTTCAACTATGAAAAGTTGGGCTAGTATTGAAAGTCAGGCTTATCATCGCAAAGTTTTCGTCACCAACCGACCTAGTGGGTTAGATTTATGAATTGAAAGTTCTCAGCTTAGGGTTTTCATCACGGAACGACATCAACCATGATGCGATGCCTTGTAATTCTACTTTTTATAAGCTTGATATACAGAGTTAAATAGGAAGGATGCTATCTAGATTCACTAAACTCTTGACAACGTATTGAATTGTAGCATATTCTTTAAGATATGATTTACATTGAGAGCAGTTATGTTTGCTAAATTAGCTTGGGCACCACTTTAAACTCACTTTTAATGTCGAAATAGACTATATGTTACCGATTTTTACTTCGGTAATAATAACATACAACTGATAAAACACTGCATTATGAGTGCCGAGCAAGAAACATGGAGTTATTTTAGTTCTTGATTAGTTCACTCAAGGCCGTCAGTATTATCAAAACTCCTACCCTCTTACACTTCCACGGTGTGGGCATCCGGGAAGTGACAACCGCCCTCATACCCGTAACAGCACACGAGACCAAATTGGTCAAAATCAAATCCTTCCTACACCCCCTAATACGTCTCTTATCTCCACGACTAACTCACTGAATTATACTTCTTGAATAATATCTTCCAACCCTAGTCTTCTTCATTACCATTAATACCTCTACCATCTTTATCACTATGGGATTTGATTTGACATTTGCGTCTCTGTGTAAATAATGTGGTATGGCGACATGAACTTATGTACATACGTACGACGTTCTACGTTACAACTGACGACCCTCTTACAATATGATACCTGGCGAATTACGCACATTACTCATACTATGTAATTCCTTATTGTGAGGATGCGACTTGTAAAGTAAAGTTAAGATTTACTCCAGCATAAATGACATATTGTCTAACACCATAAATTCTTGGAGTTCATGTATGCTCTCTAATTATGGTTGATCAGATGTAACTTGTGATACGCCCAACAAGCCCATTGCATTGTTCTATTGGTTTCTACTATTCACAAAAATGAAGTCTCAGCCCTCTACTCAAGGAATTACTGCGTAGTATGACTTACGATGTTATAACTACTCTGCTTGCTAAATAAATTCCAGTCTTTCCTACACCGTTCATTAAAGACATCTCTACGCTTTCAAGAATATAAGTGTGTCTTCCGAAAATAATGTCATCACTAACGAAGCATATTTCTTATATTTGATTCTCCATAATGTTAACATCTCTGTGACAAACAATCATTTAAATCAATTTATGTAACGCGTTTTTTATTAAGATCACATAGATTTCGCTAATGCAATTAAAACTCACTAAAAAAAGATAAATACAAGTGTTTAGTTTTTTCTAGTGCATTTATCCCTATGACTTTTGCGTTTGCCTAACTAGTGCGTTAAATCTTTATTTCAAGGTGATACTTTTGGTGACTATGGTGTTGTGTCATTTTTTTGTTCTGCTTGCTAAACTTCGAATATCAAGTTTTACTTCACCTAATTGTGTTACCAATCAACAGTTGTATTCTAGTTGCTGTTATCGAGATTACGCAATACAACCTGTTGTCTTGTAAAGATTTCACACTTTTTAAATAACATACCGTTATTCCTTTTAAATATTAACTGTATTTTATAAAAACTTGCTTATCTCATCTGTAAATTGTTATCCATTCTCTAATTATTTTCAAAATTTACTATAATTACAATCATCAATTTATTTTATAAGAAAATACATATCAAATAATGTATGTGATTGTCATCATTTATAAAAACACCGGGTTTAAAATAACCGGTTATAAAAAGGAAAATCAAATCAAATCAAACAAACTGAAAACACAACTCCAAACATGATTATTCAATGGATGGGGGTAGTAGTTTACCACTTATCGGATCATCATTATTTCTTCAAAAGTTTATATGCAGACTCCAACGTTGAATCCTCCTAAATGTTACAACAAGCAGGAAAAACAAACAATTCAGTATTGATAAGTAGTAAACAAAAGTGGACAGATTGGTTGGTCTTAGTCAAATCTCAATTATTAATAGTTATGAATAGAAATCTGTAGAAAATTTAGAAGAAATAAACTTACTTTGAAAAAACAGAATCGTAAATAATTTGAACCAAGATGTTGATTAGATGTTGAATAAAACACACTCATTGGAATAGCAGAGACACCCTACAGTAAATCAATGAAAAATATGTATTATAGGTGAGATATTGGTGACAGAAAAAGAAAAGAAGATAACGTATAGATGTAGCAATCAGTGATTTATTAAGATCAGATACATACAACACATACAATTTATCAGCATAGGAGCCATGTAGATCAATAAATATTATTGGGCTTATGAGATCTAAGTTAGACAACCATTGAAAACAAGAAAGTTCCAGACAGCTATTCAGCCCTAGTATGAGACTAGATAACTTCACCACTAGAGATCAGATCAAGGACTTTCGAACTGGTACGAAAATATCTATAGACCTATAGACCACAGAGTCAGAATCCAATAGGGTATAGTTTATTAACTTAAATCAATCTCTCATGTTGAGCAATCATCTTCAACTATTTTCCATTTGTACTTTCATCACACACAATTTACTGTTACGACTAGCATTAAATGATAAAAAGGAAAATGTAAAAAGGTGATAGATATGTTAGACTGTTGGATTCAGTTAGTAAGATGTTACGCGACTAGCCAGCCACCCCGCCCCCCCTGCGCTGTGAACGAACATCTGCAATCTGGAAGGAACTGGTCAGGATTTTTGAAAAAATGTGAAAACATGTCATTCAGATGTCATAGACAGAGGAGACATTATCACTAAGGTTAACTGGGAAACAAGCATCACTATCCACTGGATATTTAATGATTTTTTTTATCAAATTTTATTTTGAAATTTATTATTTACTTACTTTATTTTGCATCATCCAATTATTAAATTTAATATCATACGATAATGATTCATTTTGATCTAATTCATTCAATGGAACTTCTAAATGAAAAGAGGAAAGAGAAAAATAAACACTGGAGTTGTAAAGTGAACATTCACAATAAGCACACGGTGTGAAAATGAGCTTTGTCCCATCAGTAAAACAAAACAGAAAAATGAAAAACTATAGGCAAACATTTAGAATAAAAATTTTATTAAAGTAGGTGACAAACAAGGAACTTCATTTAATATTATTATGCATATGATAGAATACGTTTACAATTAGAGTTATGGAGATTAGTGTTGTTACACATTTGAAATCATCAATCAATCATTGTTAGACCGCCAATGGAAACCTGGAAGCACTGGATGGCTGTTTCGTCCTGGTATAGGACTCATCAGCAGTGCGCATCCACGGGTCCTGCTCCTCGCAGTATTCGAACTCGGAACTTTCCATTTTTCGCGCGAATGCCTAACTTCTGGACCACTGGGCCGGCATTCAACGATGTTAATGTCTAACTCTGATTGATCAATACGTTTAGTTCAACTGCTGCTAATATACCATAACAGAAAGATGAGATGATATTTAACAATCAAACCAGTAGAAATAACAACGAGAAAGACTATTTGATGAGAATACAGCCTAGGAAGAATAAAAACTCAATTCGCTCAGAAGCAATGACAGCTTGTATAAGTGCTACTGCAGAGGTCCATCGTGTCCGTCTATCGAGCTCTAGTTGTCAATGGTAGTGAAAATCGATGTTTACCACAAACTTCCAAATAAAACGAACAACATGAATATTCAACAAAAGTATGTAATGAATGAAGAAATAATTCAAACACCATTGAAACACATGGAACTTACTTATTTTAGAAATATCTGCCACAAGAAAATATCCTCCAATGGGTCTTGCTGCTATCATTCCTATTTCATTCAATTTCTCAACCATATTTCGACCTTTCGGTTCAATCAATGCACGCATCTCATTAAAATATGATTGATGCGTATGCAATAATGGCAATTCAATCTCTAAACTTCGTGCAATCGCTTCCTAGAACAAATATCAAAATAGTCAGTCAGTCAGTCAGTTGCAACGTAGAACTACGTACGTAGTTCTTGACGTTTACGCTTTCTTTTTAGTTTCTTAAGGAAAGCACGCCGAGCACGATGTCTGATTATAAGCAAACCAATCATGAATCAAACACATACGACATGTGAGATAAGTCCATTATCCATTCATCGTTTGCAATTCCTCAGGGACTAAACAAATAATTGGATGCATCTAATACAGACACTGGCCAAAAATATAAATAAATGAGACTGCATAAATTATATGAAATTCGACAACACTGGTCGCAAACAAATGGTAGTGAGAAAATTCAGCTCAGTAGTCTATAAGCTGGTCAAAAACACATCATCAGTCAGTCAGTCAGTCAGATGCAACGTAGAACTTTGTACATAAGTACATCAGTTCATGTCGCCATACCACATCAGCACAGAGATATAATTGTCAATTCAAATACAATAGTAGAAGAGGTAGCAAAGGTATTTTAGAAGTAATCGGAGAAGTTAGAATCATTATTCACGAAGTATGATTCAATGAGATAAGTTTAGAAAGTAAAAACTAGAGGTGTTGAATAACCCAGAAGATTAGGATTTGAGAGAACACAAAGAATAAATGCACTGGCGCCATTGCGAACGATTTTGAGCCATGACATTCAAGGTCTCTAGCCATCGATCATTATCATCTCGCGGACCCCAACCAGGTAGTCGACATTTACCGACATGGCTAAGTCCACTCGTCAATGACTTCATGGATTTATGCCATGTTTTGGTCTGGCCTCCCCTAACTTTCTTGCAACCTACTCCTACACTACAAAACAAAGCTCGACGAGGCAGTCGGTGGTTTGGCATACGCAAGACGTGTCCCAACCACCTCAACCGATGAAGTTTCACCACTTCATCGATTGATCTACCATTCTTACCTAGTACCCATTTCCTAATAACAGCGTTGCTCACTCGGGTGTCCCACGATATACGAGCAATGCTTCGAAGACACCTATGATCGAAAACCAATAACCGACGAGTATCTTCTACTCTCATTGGCCATGTTTCACAGCCATAAAGTAAGACGGAGCGAACCACTGCGCAGTACACTCGTCCTTTAGTCAGCAAACGAATATCTCGCCTACGCCATAAGTGACGCAGGTTGGCAAAAGCCAATCGAGCCTTCTGTATCCGTGCCGAGATTTCGTCAGTCACCAGGCCATCAGCACTGATGAGACTCCCAAGATAAGTGAAGCGGTCTACACGTTCGACTACTTCACTCCCTATCACTAGTTCAGGTGCCGATGAAACCCAATCTTGAAGCAACATTTTGCATTTCGAGGGGGAAAACCGCATCCCGAACACGCTTGCATTGTTGCTTAGGGTAGTCAGAAGACTCTGCATTTTGTCAGCGTCTTCACCAAGTAGGACAATGTCATCGGCATATTCTAAGTCAATAAGCGAGCCGCCTGGTAAAAGGTCTACTCCTGAAAATTCAGACGAGGATAAGGTTATTTCTAGGAGCATGTCTATGATAAAATTAAACAAGAATGGAGAGAGTGGACATCCCTGACGGACACCACTTGAAGTAGAGAATTCCGGTGACAGTTCGCCATAAGCTGTCACTCGACCAGTGGTGTTCGAGTAAAGAGCTTGTATAAGGTTAATGTACTTCTTTGGTACACCTTTCAATGACAGACACTGCCACAGAACCTTACGATCAACAGAGTCAAATGCCGCCTTAAGGTCTAGGAAAACAACTATTGTAGGACGCCTAAATGTGTGTCTGTGTTCCAGGACCTGTCTGAGTGTGAAGACGTGGTCTATACAGCCACGTCCAGGTCGAAAACCAGACTGGTTTTCTCGAGTCTGCTCTTCACGAGCTTTCGTTAAGCGTCGAAGTATTATTGAGGCCAATATTTTAGATACTATATTAGTTAGACTTATTCCCCTGTGATTGTCACAAGAAGACTTCTGTCCTTTCTTATAGATTGGGACAATCAGTGATTGAGACCACTCGGATGGGATCGCGTCCAGTTCCCAGATTCTACCTAAGATCTCAGTCAATCTAGCTGCTAAAACTGGACCACCATCCTTAAATATCTCAGGGGTCAGTCTATCAGGACCTGCAGCTCGTCCTCGCTTCAGATTTCCTAACGCTTTTTCAACTTCATTAAGACTAGGGGGACTTAGGTCGATTTGCCATTCAGGATGACTGGAGATCGTGGGTAACCGAAGAGTGGGCTCGAGGCCAGTTGAACTGATCCCTAAAGTGTTCTGCCCATCGATCCAGTTTCTTGGATTGAGAATAAATAATAGTCCCGTCATTTTCTGAGATAGTCTCACTTACACTAGGATTCCTAATACCAGTTTCCTTGATAAGTCGGAAAAGTTGTCTACTGTTGCCGATCGCCGCTGCCTTTTCCATCGCTTTTGCTTTCGCCACCCACCACTGTTCGCGATCGTTACGTAGGCTTTTTATAAGTCTGCGCCTAAGTTGACTTCGTTCTTCATCATGTTCAGAGCCAGGTGGGATGAGTTTTCGGGCATCCATCAGATCGGTAGATGCTACTGAGATCCACGAATGCATTCTAGCTTTATGGTCAACCTTACTAGCAGATATCACTGCTGTTTCCACAGCCTTTTTGATATCATTCCATCCTGCTTCCGGATGGGAATCGCTTAAATGGTCGCCTAACTGTCTTTCTAGTTGTTCCTGAAATATATTTTTCGCCTTATTATCATTAAGTAAAACCCTAAGAGGCTTTCTTACGGTGTCTTTCCTACGCCCTGTAAGCTTCAAACAAATACGCGCTCGCACTAGGGCATGATCTGAATCTAGACATGTGCTCCAGAACGAGCGACAGTCCTCTATCGAACCCCTCCATCGGTGGCTGATGGCGATGTGATCTAGTTGAGTCCAACGTTGAGACGACTTTGGAGGTCGCCAGGTCAACAGATGCTTTTCCTTATGCCTAAAGTTGGTGTTTGCTAAGAATAGGCGGTTGTCTGAGCATGCTTGCAACAGACGGTCACCATTGTCTGTTCTCTGAGCCGCGACACCATAACATCCACCTAGGTGTCTCTCATTTTCACTTAGTCTACCTACTTGAGCATTAAAGTCACCAGCCATTATTACTATATCAGAGCGCCTAGCTTTTTGGAGGAGGTCCGAAAGCTTTCTGTAAAACTCATCCTTAACCTCGTCTGAACTGCATTCAGTGGGGCCATAGGCAGATACGATGAAGAGGCAACGGCGATTGTCCCTATATTTCCGAGTCCTTACTGTGCCGTTTAGTCGGACAACGCACAATCAACTATCTATTGGGATCCAGTCAAGGAGAGATTGTTCTGCCCTACGACTCAATGCTATGCCTACGCCAGCAAGACCCCGGGAAGCGGCATCAGGGCTATCGGATACACGAAGAGTAAATCGAGCTGCTTCTTTATTTCGACATGTTGTGGCCAAGTGTATGATGCGACTCGGATCCTGTATGCGCGTTTCCGAGACGCAGCATACATCGATGGCACGAGATTCTAAAGTCCTAGCTAATGATGCCTGTTGCCCTATTTGACACAATGTCCGTACATTAAATGCTCCAACATGTAGTCTAGAGCGAGGTTTAAGGAGACCAGGAACGACGTTTCGCGAACTCGTATCGTCTGCATTAGCTGTGCACTGTGATGAATGAATGTGAGAAGAGTTAGTCGTGGAGATAAGAGAGGTACTAGGGGGTGTAGGAAGGATTTGATTTTGACCAATTTGGTCTCGCGTGCTGTTACGGGTATGAGGGCGGTTGTCACTTCCCGGCTGCCCACACCGTGGAAGGTTGTTTCTTGAGGAACCTGAAAAGGAAGATAGATTAGTGTTGGTGCGTGACCGCAGAGCCCAAGGGACAACTGCTTGAGGCCGGTCACGCACGGCCTTTTTATGAAATGTTTTTTGAGGATTAGCTCCGTTCTTAAAGGCCCTTAGTGGGCACCCTTACCCAAGGAGACGGAAATCCGTGAGGTAGGGGTGTGACATTTTTAGGGCCCACCTTTTCTAACCCTTCCTTCCTTGTGAGAAGGCAGCATCGCTGCAGATGCTGGTTGTCCGAGGGAAACACCTTAGTGCTGTCACACCCCTCTGCAGTCAGCAGTACGACTTCGCCCTCAGACCTTGGGTAGCTGCTTTTAGTCTCATCGTTCTCCAATCGACCTGTCTGGCATGGTAGAACCTTGAGGAACATATGTTCCAGCCAGTATAGCTCGGTTGGGTCATCACGATAGGCAAGCCCGACCACCACGTCAAGGTAGCAGCTTCGGTCGGGATATCAAAATATAAGCATAATTCATTTCACTTGATTTCTATATCAAAATAGAAATCAAGTGAAATGAATTATGCTTATAATTATATCCAATGCGTTTCAATTACAGACGCATATAAATTGGTAGAATCATTGAAAATCGTAACAAAACTCAACAACTAGATTATTCTAGTTTGAAAACTGACAATCAGTTTTATTGTATCAAACAGGTAATCTCGACAACATATAAAAAAGTGAAACAAAAATATATATATTATAATACGGATTATGATTATGACTTATTAGCAATTTCAGCAATTGTATACACTGTTGCCTAATTTATCAACTATAATATCAGTTATTCATTAGTTCAATTAACTAAAAATTAAAGCACAAAAGAAATCTATGTACCACACATAAAACTAAATAACAAAAAAAGAATATTTTATAAATTGAATTATTGTTTATTTACTTGTAAAGGAGTTGGACATGTATACAGGGTATTTTGTTGATGCAATTGCATAGCTTTTATTAAATTATCTGGTCCAATTGTCCAACCTAATTTCCAACCGGTTACACTGAATGTTTTACCAGCACTACCGATAGTCAATGTACGTGACCACATACCAGGTAAAGAGGCTGTTGAAAATAAATCAACAAAAAGTACACTGAAATTAGTGATTACATCAAGCTTACTTGATCAACTTAAAATTGAACAATGATTCGCTGAGAATCAACGCTGACAACGATTAGTATGAATGTGACATGGATAGCTTTGACCATTCAACTAAATAGCGTTTGTGAAAGTGGTGTTTTCCGTACTAGAAATTTGAAGATAACATTTATTGTAATATTTTGGATAATCGCTAACACTGAAGTAAAGGTTAGGTTCCAGATCTCGGCACTGCACGTGATCACATTATACCAAACTCATGCAAAGAATTCACGATTGTTGTTCATTCAAATGACGTATACAGGATTATAGAAAAATTAGAATTCAAATTCAAACTAAACAAGTACAAGACTTTATATACATGATACATACTCAAACAACTAACCAATACTATAACCCATTGATAACTGATCAATGAATATTTCAAATATTTTTGAATTAACAATGTTTTAAATAATAACCTATGCACATAATTCATTGAGGGCAAACAAATGTACAAAATGAACACATTAAATTGATCATCATTCATTCAATAGGACTTCAGCAGCACTACATTACACAAATGGAATCACGTACCGATTTTAATATGTTGATTAGGCGGAAATACTAACCATTCATAAACTTCATCTGAAATACACACCAAATTATGACGAATGCATACATCAGCAATACTTTTCAATTCTTCTATATTGAATACCTGAAATTGTAACAAGAAAAATTATAAAACACTTACAGATTGATCATGCCTAGTAATAATTGTTTCTCATAAACCTTAGTGTTGAATGAATTCATCCGACCAAGTGTGTTCTCTAGTCTAAATGACTCAGGAGATAGAATAATCAGAAGTTATGCTAGCTGGCACAAAACAGCTAAATATGTCCACTCGGTTAGTGTCCCCCCCCCGAATTCTCTGACCTGTCAGAGGGTGTAGAGAGACATTTCTTCCTCTCGAAATGTTCTAAAATGGCCACGGACATATAGCTACTGACAGGCAAGTCCTACTCATTGTCTTTGCGCGGTTTGGGCTACGATTATGAAGTAAAGAATAGCGAGTGTCCAGTGCTTAAGCCAGGTTAGTGAGTACGGAGGATCCACCTAGGTGAGTTGGAAAACTCTAATTACGAACCAACAGGGCACACAAGCTCCAGGATCATGAGAGAACAAATGGAGTATGGACCTACTGTCGGACACCGGCTGACATGTGACTGCATTTCCTAACGTTGCCTCACTGCCTTGTGGGTTAGACCTGTAGGTCAAGGCTCCAGGAATAATCTTTAAAGGAAACAATCAGCTTTGGTTTGAGAACCGGGGTAGCATCCCATATATATTTTGGTGTCCCGTCAGAACAATGTTTAATTGTTTGAATTAATTCAATAAAAAAATAATAAATATTTGGAGAACTGGTGCTTTTCAGAGATTTGAATTAGAATAAGAGAAATATCTTAATGAATAGTTTTAATCAAAAGCAGTAAGAACAAAATAAAAAACTGAAAACAATCATTAATATGTTAATTGAATGCATTATTTAATTCTTTATGGGAAACATAGAACAGACAGCTATGAAACTAGTAATCAATGATACGACGCTACACGTCAGGTATGTTGATGATACATTTGTGGCTTGTGATGATCATCAACGTGTTTCTTAAGCACTGAAGCTTTTTGATAAAACACATGCAAATAGAAGATTGACAGTGAAACGTGAAAATGCCTTTCATTTTCTAGACCTAGCTATAAAGCGTAATACATATTATCCATTGAAAGGATATATTTTTCGAAACGGCCACATGAGGTGGATTATACATAAACGTCAATAGTTTCTATCCAATAAGCTACAAAATAGCCTTGGTTAGAACACATCTATTGATAGTGTCAGAAGATTATGTTCAGCAGGTGAAATTGATGAGGAAATAGCCATAGTCAAATACTGTTTATGTGATTAATGGTTACCTTCAAAAATTCATAACCAAGTATGGGAAGAATTGAAGTATCTCACTGTTGAGAAGAGGTCTGCGTTCCTAAGACTAAACTTCAAGGGCAATGAGATGGTAAGAAATATTAATTTCAGATTAAAAGCCATCGTAAAACAGACTTATCCAGCCTCCGAACGGATTCATCTATATCACATGAATTGCTCATTAAGACAGTCATCTGTGGACAGATTCCTGCTTTGTGTCAACTTCCATAATATCTACCAGTTTACATGTACATTCCAATGCACATAAGTTGGAAGAACAGAAAAGGGACTTAGTATCCGCATCTTTGAGCACATTCCATGGAAACTTAGACTAAGAGAACGACATGTGCTCACTGGTGCAATCGCACACCATTTGCCTTGTCAGCAGTTTGATATCTGAAGGTTTTGTCAAGATGATAAATACACAATGAGCATCAGATTTACTACGGTTCACTAAGACCAAATCTCTGCATTGACAAAAAATCATCTATCAATTCTGTTTTTTGACGTGGTGACCTCATCATTCACAGTGTTTTTATTAAGCTGATGACTAGTTAATGATTCTCAATTATTACGTGATCTGTGAACTCAGCCAATTTTGTTTTAAGAATTGCCACACGCAACTACTATAACATTAATGTGTTATTTTCAAATAATTCTGTTTCTATGTTCTTCATTGTTTATTCCAAACTATTCTTATATTCAATCGTTTTAAATATTCATATTAATTAACATACAAATATTATCATATATGCAGTCTATGTTGCTGTTTCATTAATCTTTACTAAAGAGATCTTTTCCAATATAATGGATAGATAAAGTATGTACACTGGTTTTTTTTCAAAAAATGAATTATACTACTACAATTATGTTTAGAGATGACAAGTAGCTGATGAGAAATCATGAAATAAATTGAATTCATATTATTCTGCTATGTTGATTGTTTCTTGTTTTATTCAGACTTATTGATAGTAAAAATTGTAAGGCTGAAAGTCAAACCAATCAGTTATGTATAAATATATAAATATCCAAGATAACTTATTATTAGCAAAAGAATCATTTCACAACTTACTTTACCCAATGGATTATGTGGTGTGTTTAATATTATTGCTTTTGTTTTCGATGTGATTTTCGATTCCAATTCTTTGATATTTAATTTCCAACAATCACTGTTCAACTCTTCACCATCATTCAACTGCTGCATATGTTTATTCATTCAAAAATTAAAAGAATGCATTTTATAGAATAAGAAAGTTTGCAGATTAAATGATTATCAATATGAATACACAAATTGTTCTAGAAACACAGAGCATACACATCCGACAAACAAACAAACATTGTTTCTATTTGATGAAGTGAAATGATGGAGAAATTGTTGTTGGTTGATTGAATTCTAAAAATATTCTCAGAAAAATATATCGTATTTAAAAAAAAACATCAATTAGGATTTACAGGTTTGAATAGAATGACAAGTATGATTTTGATTAGAATGTTTAGCTTAAAATTTGGTAACGGAACAAATCATTACACGATAGCAGTCAAACCGGATACAGAAATAGAATGTGTAGTGTGTTTGCAATATCACCATCGATGTGTATATGAGGAGTGAGTAGTAAACTACTGATTGGTTGAGTTTACAACCCATTAAGGGAATAGGTATACAGTGAGGGATTAATGACCTAGTTTTAGGTTGTTCCTATTGAAATCGGAAGCATCGTCAAAACGGCATGTAGGCAATTGAGTCACACTACCACTATGCAAACCAATTAAGATGTGTGTGTATGTTCACAAATACATAAGTACCTAATAAGGTTAAATGACAAACATCCATGTTTCATTGCTAAGCATAAACGAAGTAAGATTGTCTTCTTTGTTTATTTGTATATAAGCTGATTAGGGCGAATACTTTGTTTTATTGAGGCCTTAATCATACGAAAGTTCAAATCTATGAGTACACTAAACCCAATCCTGATTTATTAGCCGAATTGATATAATTCAAATTGTTTTGTTTGTTATATTTGTCGTAGTCGAGCTTTCATTTTTCGCGTATAAAATATTTGTAACAAGTATAGACGTGATCATTTTGTTTGAAATGTTTTTCGCGAACCTATCATATTAGTTCAGATGATCTACGCCTTGTTATTGCACTATCTAAATTTATCAAAAGGATTAACAATGGTTTGAAAGAACTATTATCCTATTGAGTACACTGGATAGAGTGAATGAAGAACAAGAATTGTACATTTTTTTAAAAGAACCATCTGATTATCACTGAACTCATTTCAACAAACAACTCTTGTTCCAGTAAGAGGATGTGGACTGATGTACGTATGTACGAAGTTCTACATTGTAGCTGACTGACTGTGAGGATGAGTAAGAATTTTCGTTCAAATTATGTTGAGCGTGGATAATCACAACATGTTCTATGCTTAATTGATTGATGATCAACTCAACTCAGTAATTTAACTGCAAAGCGTTAACCAGGGGCAATGTGAAGACTTTAGGTTCAACACTCCTAGCAGATTCGTTAATATGGACTTTTAGCAAATCTTAAACAAAACAGTTAGCCCATCTCTTATTGATTTTTGATAAGTATCCTCAGTCAAAATCATGATAATCAAATTTAACATCACTTCTCAAGTTGAATGCTACATACCAGTTGAAGTGTTACATAAATCGGTATACCACCAGCCATAACTGTCATTGGAGTATAACAATCGAAACTTGGCTCCATAATTATCACCTCATCACCAGGATTGATTAATGCTGAAATAGCTGTAAAAAGCGAACCATAAGCACCAACAGTAATAATAATCTCTTTTAAAGGATCAATCTCTCTATCTGGTTCAAAAGAGTTCAATTGCAGTTTTCCAGAATCACTGTATAGTTTATGATCACACCTAAAATAACTTGTATACAGCTTAGATAATACAGTTACTAAACGTGGATGACCCTAAAATAAGAGAAAAATAAGTTCATAAAACTGGGTCACACTATGAGCATACATTTTAAACTTTTGTACTTATGTTCAACGAAATAATTGTTAGTTATGATTATGAAAGTGAATTGGAATAGTATCACATCAATTCTAATGCTTGTTTAAATGCACTGTTTTAACAACTAAATACTAAGTTTGATTATTATTATTACTATTATTACTAACTTGAATTATTGATTGTTAGAATGCCATTCATATCTTTGAAACTACGTTTCCAATCAAGACTACTAATATTTTACTAATGTTTTTATTTAGCAATAAAATTAAAAAAATAAAAACTGAACATAAGCACAATTGTATTCTCCTTATTATTTCTTCATAAAATAAAACTTTATTGACACATCAAGTACAGGCAAAGATTATTACTCAACTTCTCATGGGAATGGCAATTGGGAATACTGTACGAATAATTCAACCACTTCAATCAATGACGATTGATAATCTCTTATCGATCGATACACATTTGAACACAAAGGGCAATCAGTCAAACTCCATATAAACTATGTTTATCAATCACTGAATTATATGCTTAAATAAGTATAAAGTTAAATATGACACTAACAAAGTGTAATGAGATTCGACTTGATCATTGCATTACACATCACATTTATCAAAAAGTTACATTTCAATAATCATTTACCATAGATCTAGTGTATTGATGAAGGAATGGATTAACATCAGGTTTGCCGAGAATGGCCAAACTTTCAAGAACATGTTGTTTTGGAAGAATATCTGGAAAACCCTATAAGAAAACAATTACATGTAGAAACAATGTTCTGTAATATACATGTATACCTATATATCGGTCAAAAATAAGAAACAAGATCACTACTTAAGGATTAAGTAGTTGAATCGTTATCAGTATTTTAAGCAAGCAATTAGTTGTCTAAAAGTTAACTGCCTTCCTAAATTAAGTTGACAGAAAGCCAACACATATTCGTCTATGGATCAAAACTGAAACATTAAACCGACACACAAAAACATAATAACACTGCAAGAACATGAAATGTTCAATTTATACACACTACAATATTGAAAATAATTCTAGGAATGTTACACAGGTGGATTAAATGAAAATTTTGGTTATTTCATAGGACGATAAAAATTATTTGATCAATGATATATTTAAATTTAACAGAAGAAATTACCTGACCCAAATTGATCGGTTTGTATTTGGCCACTGCATGATTAATTTCCACCCTGTACAGTACAATCAATACAATTACAATAAATGACTAGAATATAGTTTAAATTAAAAGTAAATGAAACAATAAAGATCAGTATGAAAAAAGGACCAATTTGTCACGAATAAATAACCGAAAAACGATGTAGTCTGAAAGTACAAAGTGTAGGAGTGTTGACTTACACAAGTACAATTATAATCAACTTCAGAAAAAATTAAATTAGAAGCCTACTCCGAGAATGTGACAGATTAAGAAACGGTTAAAAAAATAGAAAGATGAAATCATAACATGACTTCATGTGGTTATTATTATTATTATGATTGAACCAAGTCATATCAAGACATTCAGTTTACAGTTCCATATAACTATAATCCATGTCTGAAATTCATAGATGACACAACTACAAATCCATTGTGAGACAACAGTTAGATTTGTTTTTAGTATGAGTAATTAAAATGTTACATTTCTCAGTTTTATTTGTTCTTTGTAGATTAGAATTTATTTATTTGGTTTTTACTATCATTGGCATTACTGCTTCGACTTAATTGTCTTTCATTTTTGCTGTGAAGTGGGGATATTTGGATCGATCACAATTTATGTCAGGTTAGATGTTCTTGATGGCTGACTGAGATGCACAGAACAACTTATAAATTAATAGAAACAAGGACATCTTCTAGAAGTAATCATTCTCAACGTTACACTGAATTCGAACAGTAAAAACAAAAAATGAGGTGAACAACCAGGAAACAAGCAGATAAAGAACAAATGACTACAGTTGCAATTAATCGATAAACTGCACAAGTAAGCAGGAAAGAGTGAAAGTTCATTTGGCTACCAACTAATACAAGTAAATGCTTATTTATACATTCTTTACGCTTAGAAAATGAATCAACATATCGAATGACCTCGTTCGGTCACTAGTGAATGGCTCACCATGTCACTAAACAAACGTGATGTTAGTTACCAATAAGTGATTAGTTAATATGCTTCTTTGCTAGGGAATGCTCAGAAGCCTTTAAATCCAGCTTCATCAATGTTAATTATTCAACACAAAATACATACTGGTAATTGCTCTTTTACTGTAACTATTAAGTCAGTCAGATATTAAGAACACGGTGGAAATCAATTTCTTAAAAAAGGAACACTTCAAATGTATCAAGGCATACCAAATACTGGGTTTTTGTTTCAAAATACGAGTAGCTGGAAGAATCATTGCAGATTGTGTTTCATTAAGCGTATCTGCGGAATTATTTTCAGCCTAAAATTAGAATTATAAAAAAGAGAGAATATGTTATTCACAATATTACACGTATCGCAAATGGTACAATTACAAGGTAAACATTTCATTAGTTGCTTTGTGACACGTTGCAGATTTTATAATGATGATTTTGAGTGAAGATTCTGTCTGATGTTAACTATCTATTGACTAATTGTTACGCATGCACGTAAACATGTCATTTTGATAGTCTTGAACCATTACGAGTTTACACCTTAGTCGGAAAACGAGAGCGAGGATCGAGGATCCGGCGACACGACACGCTACTCAAATCCGATTATCCCAGCCTCCATTGAATCAAAGAAGACTTGATATGAAGTAGCACCTGTATTCTTCAAGCATCCAGAAAGTACGAGGTCCGACTCCGGAAGAGAATCAAGATCCGGCTCATAGAACGTTACATACATTTAGGTCGAAGAGGAAACAGCATAGAAGTCTGTGACATTGACAGTTAAGACGACCAATAGGAAACAACAATTAAAGTGACATTGACGGTCAGGGCGACCAATAACAAACAGCACTGGAGTACATGACATTGATATGTAGGACGATCATAAAATTGACCAGTACAAATTAACCAATAGGAATCGACTAATAATTCTCTTAGATATTGGATGAATATCGTAACACTAATATATTAATAATTGCACACATTTGTTACGGTCAATTTTCTTACTCATTGATGATGGATGATTAAAAAACAGAACCGTATACGCTTACGAAAGTAAATTTTCAGTATGGATGCACTTAAAAAAATTGTTTAAGATGTATGAAATGAAACTGTGTGGTCGATTTGATTATCTACGATTTTGGATTTTTTGAAAATCTTGATTGTAAATTTTCTTATATCAATATCAGGATTCGACTGTTAGCCAAATCCTATCTATTATACACTAACTCGTGTCACTGACTAAACTAAGGCAATTCATACAGAATGCACATATGCTAACAAAAATAGAATCTGAGGAGTTTCCACCCAATCAAGGTCCGATTGAATTTCTAGAAAGTCGATGTGGCATAAGGTTATTGGATGATAATGTGACATCGCTAATTGTGGATTGCATGATTTTAATGGCATCTTCACTCCGTACAACAAGTTATAAATGTACCGACTTTGTCTGTACATGTTGACACTTTCTGGAATAAAGATTCATTCTGTTCATTTTCCGGCTTTTGGTTTGCGACCTAGGGGCGGCGGGAGACGATTTTCCTCAACCTAGTGTCAAAGGTTGTATTGTGTATTCCCCTTTCTAATGGCAGACTTATCCACATTTAGCTTAGGCGATCACTAGTTCAGAAACCACTTTGAAAGCAGTTTACACCTACAGATAAGTGTACATTTTGGTGATAACAGTTAACATTTATGGTCATGCTCTTATGATTTATCTTTGAAGCTACAGAAAACGAAAACCATAAGTCACAACGATTCGATTATCGATTATCTAAAACACTGCATTCCGAATAATATAATAATTAATTAATTAATTAGACAAAGACTATTTACTCAATATGACTGAAATACATTGATGGATATAATATACAAATAAGTTGTCTAGTAAATAACCGTACCTACAATTGAACAAATAAAGACTAATGATCACCAAACACATACAGGCACAAACAAGTCGGACAGATACAAACAATTCGAACAAAGCAAACAACCGAAATACAAGAAGAATAAATACTTTCACATTTTATTTATTCTACATATTTTTTAACTGTAGAAAAAGAGATGGTTAGTATCAGATACAACTGACATATAAAAACAGTTCATACAGGCAATAACAAAAAAATATTATTTACAAAGAAAATACACGAGAATAATAGTAGTAGCAGTAATAATAATACTAATACTAATACTAATAATAATAATAATTATTATTATAAAAGTACATTTAAATTGAGAACAAAAAAATAAATAATTATAAACAAAATACAGTATACAGTATATTCCTTATTGTTAGGTGTGTACTCCAACTACTCCGAATACTTAATAAGCGATGAATGAAATTCCACAATTGGATTATAAGAACAATAAATACATGAATTCGTTGATGATGATTATACAAGAAATAGGCTATTGATTATGACTATTTGACTCGAACTATTCTCTTGTGAACTTCTGCTTTCACATGTTTTCTTCTCTTTTTATGCAATGATGTCGATGATGGTGACGATGAAGGTGAACGATTCAAAGAAGATCTCTTGTTATCATCTCTATTATGCTTAGTTCTCTTAGATTTTCTATGCTTGTGATGTTCAGATGGACTGGAATTTTTATCATTATTCTTAAATCGAGATGAATGATGATTTCCTATTGAAGAAGAGGATTGTGAATGTGAAGAGATTAAGGTGGACGATTGCTTTCGTGTTTTATGTTTATCCCGCTGATGATGACGATGATGATGATGCTGAAGACAACGGGTAAAAGATGAGGAGCCGTTAGAATGTGACCTGAATTGTAGAAAAACACAAAACCATGTAAGCATTCGGGAGAAATTTAAAAGCTGACTAAAGTGTTTGGTCTTTTTCACTAATAAAGGATGACAACTCAATAATATTCACACAGATACTGTACAATTAACAACATAGTGCTTTGATATCATAGATCTCACCATGATGATATCGATTTAGATGAAGATCTTCCTATAAGATAATAATAACGTTCGCTGTCACCTGATTAGTTGTTAATACTCTTAGTTTGCTATCATTGGTTTCATCCTAGAGTTATTGCATATTAGTATGGAAAGACTTGTCTTTACAATATTTTATCGTCGGTGTGGAATATAAAGTCAATCTTAAAGTCCTATCTCTATTAGTGATGTAAATTATCGACGTTGAAAAGTTGGAATCTATGAGACATCTCATCTATTCGAGTTCTCATCAGCTGGATCAAATTGAACACCTCAATATTTGGTGAACAGAAATCACTGTAGATCAACCAGGATCCTCAAATATCGGAAGTACAAACAATAGATGAGTGTGATTTAAATATTAGTAAGTATGTTATTCAATTCACTTATCAATCTCAACTATTAGCTATTAACGAGTACACTCAAACATATAATTACTGAGTATGCTCTATCAAAATCGATAATAATTACAATGACAATTAAATGACGATTTATGAAATTATTATTTACTGTCGGCCTTAGGTGGGGGGGATCAACTAGATCACTACAACACATTCCATATTTTGTTAAATTTAAATAGCATTATTATTGAGAGATAAGGAATTTCTTAACTAAATGTAATATTAAAAAATTATAGAAAATAATTTAAAGATAAATTTACTTCAATGTGGAAGAGTATTCACGATCACTGTAATCATTATTATCCATTAATGGATTAATAAATCGATTGGAATGATGCCATAAAGTTTTTTGTAGATCAGCACTAGTCTCTCCAGGATTCAGAAATACATGCAGAAAATTACAACGAAGATCTCCTTTAGGACATTTACCTCGATGATAAAGACCTATGCAGATTATAAACAAAGAAATTGATTGATAATTATTACTAGTTAAAAAGGAAAAGTATGACGGTTATGCAATAAATGATCAATGAAACTGTCAAAATGTTATGATTACAAATTACACTTCACGGAAGCAAATGACTACAAGCCGACAATCCAAATGGATACAGATAAAATCTACGAGAAAATGTTGGACACATTTTTTTCGTCTGTCAGATATTCGTGTAACTATTTATCAGAGGTTACAGTCATTACAATTTAATCGCCAAAAAACTTTCAAACTTAAGTTCCTCGAATTGTATGCCGTCGAAGCCTTATTCATTGGTTTGTTTTTTAAGAAACATTCTGTGTTCAGATGTCGAGAACTTTATGTATCAGTCGTTTGATAAATTCAAATACTGGAAAAGATTGCCAACTTTGTATGGGTACATGAAAGAAAAAGAAACCATTGAACACACCACAAATAGCTTCTCTCCAACCACCACCTAATCTGACTACAGTACATGTAAGTTGACGTCCAGCGAACCAACGACCATTGCAAGCTTCAGCGGCATCCCATGTGGCACTTGGACCCCTTGCAAATTCAACATAAACTGCACCACAAAGATGATCAGCTAAATTACGACACGTTCGGATGACTGAAATTTTTCCCCATCTAGATTCCAATTCCATACGAACATCATGGTAGAATTCATGATAATCTGAGAGTAATTGACTTTCATCCACTTCAAGACCAGAATCTGAAATGTTATAGTGTAAAAAAACGTTAACTAATCTGTTTCCACATCTAATAACCTATACTAAACTTATTAACAATAAATGCAATGATGAGTAAGTCATTAATAACACCTGATTTCTGGTAGATTAGTAGTTAAAAAACGTGACTTTCAATCAGAACCTTATCAATTTATTAATATGTAGATAGCTGAATTATATTACTAACCTTCAAACAAGCAGTATACCTTAAAGTTGATTGCATAAATATGTATTTAGTGAATGAATTAAATTACTTTTATTATTTATGATTCCTGCATAAACGCTATATTAGTTAACTTTATGCTTTTGTCAGTAAATTAAAACTAGTCACTGAAGGTACGAATCATCATCAGAGCATAACCTTCTTAGCCTATTTACAAGTCATGAATAACTTGATCATATAACAGAATGTAGACCACAACCTGCTGAAACATTGATAGTCACCGAATGCAGTACAATTCTGATCTAAATTTTTGCATACGAACAATTCCACATGCATTAAGTGTGAAGATTGTAGATTTTTGAGATTGCGTATCAATGCAATTTAAAAACCCAGGTGCATTGGATAGCTGATTTGTCCTAGGACTCCGAAACAGCGAGCATCCACGATTCTATCATGGTGAATCGTACCCACGACCTTCAGTCTTGGGCGCGAATGCGTAACTGCCAGACAACAGAGCTGGAGTAGGACGATGAACAAGCCTAATTTAGATCATTTCACAATATTGTTTAGGCGTCTTCCACTGTTTACAAAAGGTACCTTCATCGCATCTAACACAGTTGAACTTCACTAGTCACGGTATCTCACTACAACTCAAGAAATTTATTCTAGAGTGTCAGGAAGGTACTCAACAGAGACAATAGGAAATCCTAACTTAATGGTCTAAAGCTTACACATTCATGTGCAAGATTGAAGGACTGGCATTTAATCTTCTCTGATAAGGTTGAGAATATGCACTTCTAAAGAGTTTCCATATTAGAACTAAACAGCTGTCCAATGCATTTACGTTTCTAATGGTTATCGAATTTAAATAGGTTCATGAACACAATACTAAGCAAATCGGACTATACTGATTATGAGGAAAAATACATTTGTTTTCGATTGGTAAAGTAATCACAAACCTTGATCTTCAGAACCAGCTTTTTTTGTTAAATCCAAGTGATAGTGTGTGAACATTTTGGGAATTTTTAACACTAAACAAGAATTATCAATTGGTTCGTCGAAACCGCCAACACCGTCATCAACAATATTTTGATCATTAGTAATATTATTATACGATTCAATAGTATCATCATATGGACTGGGATATTGATGAAGACGAGAACAACTATTGCGAATAAGTGGAAAGAGGTAAAAAAAAAGACAAACAAACACAGTATAAACAACCATTCATGTGATTGGTCTAACACAATTTGAACAAACTATTTGCTAAATATTAAAAGGAAAACATAATAGAATAAGCAATGACATTGTAAGATTTATTAAAATTTTGTAAGTGACAAACATTTGTTATCATAGAATAAACAAAACATGGCTTGCAGTGAATTCTAGGGTGTGCGTTTTTTCACAATTGAAATTTGTCTGATAAATGAGCATTTTATGTTGAACCCTACAATGTTAAGGGATTATATAATTTAATCCCTCTATTATCAGTTATAATTGCTGAGGAAAGATGTGCCCAAGACTTAATTGTTTGAGGTCAGTTCACTTAGTTTAGAACGCAACACAACATGTCAAACACCGCACATATTTCATTCATACCAAGACATAATGTCATACACTGACCACTCTGCGTTTCTCAATCAGTCCCAGAGTCGGCAAATAATACACGATGCGGTTGTCTGAGAGAAACACCTTTCTGCTTTCACACCCTTATACAATTAGCAGTACGACTTCGGCCTCAGACCCAAAATTTCTGCTTTTAATCTTACTGTTCTCCAAATGACCTACCTGGCATGGTAGGACCTAGAGAAATATTATAGCATACCTAGTTGGCTGCCGATGCACTACCGTGATTCGTCCTTTCTGTAGTAATTCACCAGGGTTTAAATATTCACTATTGAAAAAGTAGCATTCTAGACAACTGTTCACTTTACTACGCATCTAAGCTGCACCTTCCAGATCAATGGTATATGCAGCTAACTTTTCAAAATCACCTACTAAGTAGACATTGATATGCTCGTCAGTTGATATGTTTGAATGCTATTATGAGTTCACTTTACTCGGTAAACGGAGCGAAGACAAATGATGCAGTGAGACAATAGGCTATTCTTACCCGGCTAACTATATCGAGAAGTCTTGATAAGGCGTAGAAAGTGTATTCTACAAGCACCCAGAAAATACGAGGTCGACAAGCACACAAATCGAGCTTATTTATACATGATAGAAACGCCTTTGGGAGAGCCACTAAAATAATACATGAACCGATGACAGTCGAGGATTTTCCGAGTGGGAGATGTTAGCTGAAGGTCAACTAAGCAGCTTATGCGCAAAAACATAGAAAATCCGAAATTAGGACCTTTTCCAAGTGATTGGAGGATCTAACGTCCCCAATCAACGTTAGGCTGATTTGGAAGTTTTTGTCATTTAAACAAACGTCATCACATATCCAGTACATCTTCTTTCCGTTAGCTTCATACACAAAATCGATAACAACAAATGCTGTAGATTCGGACATGATTAAGTGATGAATCCTATTCTTCTGATTGGTTGTTTCAAAATGAAAGCGAAGGTTTTTCTCATAAGGGATACGCATCAACTTGTGATTATAACTCATTGACCCTCTAAATATCAGCCCAACAAATACATAGGATTCACAACCACTACCGCACAGGCTGTCTAAACCAATGGATAAAAAGTCTGGTGTAAAACAAACCTTCATGTCGCTTGTGTTGTCGATCAATAAATAAGATTGAATCTTGGTTGTCACAGATATTTTATACAAAAATCTTTCTGAAAATTATACCAACTTCGCTAGTTCAAATAGACATGGTAGACAACAACGTTGCCTACAACTGATATTGACAAAGTATATTCAATACTTTTATGGATCCGATAGTAAATATTTTATTGCCAGGTTAAAGTCGCGCATTTGATTGATCAGAGAACGATACACGTGAATGATGGAAGGTAGGTATAATGAGGATAAACGGCATACCACAAAGTAACCAATATCGAACTAAATGAAATGACACACTGGGAACAAAATACACCCTGAAGTGTTATACCAAGTTAGAGAACTGTCATTCTGATCTTAACTTACCGAAATGAGGGGCCATATACATTTTACAATGCACTTTTTTTACTAAATAACCAGTCATCAAGTATTTTAAAAACAACATATAAATGAGGGTACTTAGCTGGATGACATGGTGCTTACGAAAAGTAAATTAATCCTTATTGTGCCAGTTTTTCTACTACTTTGCGTCTTGTGGGTTAGTGGTTTTCATTTCCAAATCTAAGCAGCAGGACTGCAGGTGCAACAGAAGCAATGCGGTTATAACATCTTTATGATTTCTTAACTTAAATTTCACCGATTTTATAACTCTGTTCTTAGATCCTTAAAGCGGTTAACCTATTACTCAATTCGTCCGATTATGTATTGCTCAATTTATATTATTTCCTCTACTTAACATCACCTAAAACCTGATTCAAGCAAGTGCTACGTAATAGTCATTTGAAAACTGATAAAAAAAAAAAGCTAAAAAGTTTATTTTTATGAGGTGAGAATTCTCATTTACATATTTTCCATCGTTTAAGGACGTATCGTGACATACGGTGTCCAAGCGTTGATACTGATCCGTAATCTTTCTATTCAGAAGTGCGACTGGTCAGTCGAATGAAAAGACTGAGTGAGAAAGAAAGTTTATTGACTAACATAATCAGTATTTATATATAATCATATACAAGCCACCAGTAGTATGCCTCAGTGCTAGTTAATATAAGCAATTCACTGGTTTAAATCACACACACTTAACATATAACCGATTTCTAACAGACTTAATGCGTCAATTCGCTTTTTACTATGACTATACATAAATATGTTATACAACCATAATAAAGTAAGTATTAATAAAGTGGTAATCAGTTTGACAATTAATATCATGACAAACTTGGGGGTATTCATGAAAATAATGATTACAGTGTACTATAAATGGAAAAATATACTATGAACTTATTTTAAACAATGCTACATACTATGAAATGTGTAAAAACAAATGTTACTTACAGAAAACCATATCGACAAGCACCTGTTTTACGAAAAAAGCTACATCTTTCCATCACTGTAGAGGTAGTAGCAGAGTGCGGCACTTGCTCAACTGGCGGGGGGATAGATACAGGTGGTGGTGGGGGAAGATGCCACGGCGGGAGGTCTGAGGCGTGTTGCTCATCGACATCCTAACAAACAAAACCAATATTGCTATGAACGTGTAAAAATCAGAGAAACAATATGATAGAGAAACGTTTAACCTATAAGGGGTATAGTACTCAGAATTGGGAGTATACATATATATATATATATATATATATATATATATATATATATATATATATATATATATATATATATATATATATATATCACAATATTTTGATTGATGATATCTGGCTTATTTCTTTATTTCTTTATTAATAGCTTATCAGCTTCACACTGTTCTTTCAGAAAACGAAATTTTGTCTCGGAATTTCTTGTAAAGTACCACTGTAATTATTATTCGAGAATTTGTTGGTAAAATAATGAATGTTCACATTCGATATCGTGCAACAAACGAGAATGATGTATAATAGTGGCATGACTGTTCTTATGTTGTGGATTTTCTAAAAATCTCACTCGAACTAACCAAGATGAATTGGAAATGTTGTGGTGTTATGTTTAATGCAAATCTGCTAGAAATTCTTCAGAGACTACGGGAACAAGATAGAAATATTTGGTCATTAATCATGACCATATGATGAAATATTAACAAAAGACAGAAATACAGAATAATTAATAAGTTCAGTGTCGAAATTGACATACTTTATTTATCAGTGAATATTTAATGATCATAGTAACTCAAAGCAAGAGTTGGAGCCATAATTGAACTTTACTACTAAACTCGATCACCGGATGCTCAATATCCAACCCGAACCAGTGGAATCCGTTTGGATTACAGATTTTATTATTCAAATTATCAGTGTGTTTATCCAATAAAACAAAGATTTCCCCTTAATTATTATGACTCTAAGGTTATGTGTTAAGAAAAGTTTTTGGGTAACAATACAATTATCACAATCTTTATGGTTTATGTTTAAGTATACATCGAAACAATGCTCATAACTAATCAACCTACAGGTGTTCACTTCACACAAATAAGATCAAACTGGAGGTTGAACATCATCTGGGGCAGTATGTTTTGTTTACAATAGTTACCTTATTTCTGTGATCAACAGACTGTTCTTCTCATTTCAGTACTTACAGTTTGAAATCATGGATGTTCGTGTGTGATTTTCACATCATGGATTTGAATGCTAAGGGAAGGTGTATTCGATAATATTAGACCTAATTGACAATCCTATTGAAAATCTGTTATCCTTTGATAATTATCAGCTAATCAATAACAACTATTCAAATCAGAGAGTTACATCAATCTCACAGAATAATATTATGTAACTGTACAATGAGAGTTGACATTGACACTGGAATTTTCAGACTAACCAGCTTTTATCATAATCAACCGAAACTCAAAAGCAACGAGATACACATTTTATATAAAGGTGATGAATCAAGAGTACTAATCTTGTACCAATAATATGAAAAGAAGTATCATATATACAGTACACACTGTTAGCTATTTTTCAACGTAATATGCAAATGTGTCATTATGTTTGAAGAGAAAAACACCTGATGAATTGGTAAAAATAACCAGCATAAAAACACGGTAGTCAATCATAATTTGACAATCAAGAAAAAACAAAACAAATGACATGAAACACTGCGAGAGGATACGTTCATATTCTTGTGTGAATAAAAATAATGATAACCATAAGAACTCCATAGAAAACCTTTGATTTCGATTCACAAATGATTTTCTTCGATTCTAGTTGTTTATTTTCCCATTCTGTTTTTATTTTTCTCTAGAAAGATAAAAATCAATAATCTACTATATAACAAACTAATAAATTATTAAACTGAGAAATTGATAAGTGAATTTTTTTTTATTAAAATAATAACAATAATTGTTGACTACCTCATACTGAAAGCAATTAGCCTTGACGTAGGATCTCTAAATAACTCTGAAAGAAAATGTACGACTGAAACTAGAGTATACTCATTAGATTTCAGAAAGGCTAGTTCAGATTAAGTCAACCTGCCTAGGAAAGTTACTGATCACAAATAAAACGATATATTATTTAAACGTTACCGCTATCAGAATTCATACATCTTATCAGGCAATTATACTTGGACTTTTCAATGTTATATTGATATGCACTTAGTAGAAAACTTATTTTATCAAGTGACCAAACTGTTGTTATCATATATTGATCGATAAAAAACGAGCCGGAATATTAGGTCAGTTTGTTGAGGACGCCCTTAAACGGACCACGTTGTGTTCTCATTGAAGACTGGTTGATATCTACATATCATAAACCTAACATGCCATACACATGAAGTTAATATTAGCAACGTTTGCCACATCACGGTATTTGGGGACAATTTCAACTACAAAACGTATTTGATGAGATATAATATATTCAAAGAGTTTAATTAAGGTGAGAATTTATGTGGAGTGTACAATTGATTTTATAACTGAACTAATAAGTGACTAATAAATTAAGTAATCATATCCAGGTAACTGAATAGTGAGGTGTATATTTGAAGAAAAAAAAGGGCGGTGAATAAAAGTAAACAAACAGAAAACGAGTATGGGAAATCATGATCATAAGTAGATAAGTGAAACTGTTTGTTAAGGCCAACTCACTAAGATGAGACGCTGTTTTTAGCCTTTGTTAGTATTCTTACGATAAACAGTACACCTATCAGCTTACTATCACTATAAACAATGATTCTTAAATTTCCTTGACTGATTTAATTATATATATATATATATATATATATATATATATATATATATATATATATATATATATATATATTGGGGGCATGGGGCATGGTTTAAATAACTATATACTGAACGTTTAATTCCGAGTCGATTTTAACTCAATTCACTTTAGTAATAGTTGACAGGTTTAACAACTAACCAACTAACTTAATATGGAATTCTCACCAGTCCAGATGAACTGATGGCTAACAAATTTTCGGTATGAGCATAAAATACTTATGTTCAATGTTGCCAGCTACAATCCCCCTCTGGCGTAGACAAAATGTTAATTTCCCAATCAGAGCAGTAGAATGTTTGCTTTGTACTAATACACTAATGAGAAATAATACCTTATGAGGCTGAGAACAAGCTCAGGTTGCTTTTATTTTACCACAGATATCTACTAGGGTAGTTGTATGTATGCTTAACTATAGACTACTTAGGCGTGTTACGCTGACCGATAAGACAGTGGATCGGAAAACAGTTAGGAATGGTCACGATAAGACAAAGTTCATCTGTGGAATCACTGACTGATGAACTGAACCGTGATAGTGGAGTTTTAGGCGAGAGATCACTGGTTGGTAAACGCAGCTGGTATCACTCAAAACTAACTTCAGTGAAATAAGAGTATTCTTTTCACTAATTCTCATCAAATGCTGAGTATATTATCGTCCCAAACGTTTCACTGTTTGTTAAGAACTTTAGACTCTGAACTTGTTAAAGTTTATCAGTAAAAGTTAAGTGTATAAAACAATTACGGTCATAACATACATCAAGCGTAATCATACCTGAGCCTCCTCTTCGAGTTGCTTTAAGAGCATTTTTTGACGATTGTTCTCCTCAAACTTACGTTGTGCATCTTGTTCACGTTCTTGCCAAATTTGTTCATTACGCTCACTAGAAAAGTTTTACTTTATTTCATTTTATTTTATACCGTTCTTTAGCCTCAAGTTCAGCTAACTCCAACTCTTTAGCCTGTTGTGCTTGATATGATGGAGAAAGTTGGAGACGATTTAGCTCTGAAATAAAGTTAATAAACCAAGACTGTAGTATACCTTCAATCTCTTTCCTTTCATTCTCTTTAGCTAGTTCTTGACGTTTACGCTTTCTTTTTAGTTTCTTAAGGAAAGCACGCCGAGCGCGATGTCTGATTATAAGCAAACCAATCATGAATCAAACACATACGACATGTGAGATAAGTCCATTATCCATTCATCGTTTGCAATTCCTCAGGGACTAAACAAATAATTGGATGCATCTAATACAGAAACTGGCCAAAAATATAAATAAATGAGACTGCATAAATTATATGAAATTCGACAACACTGGTCGCAAACAAATGGTAGTGAGAAAATTTAGCTCAGTAGTCTATAAGCTGGTCAAAAACACATCATAACAGTAATCTTATCAAAAGTCACTACGCTGAAATTGTTCGATCTCCGTTTTTGAAACCTAAACCAACAAATATTCATGCAATGTTTCTGACCAATTTTGACTGCGATTCTTGGCAAGTGCTCATACGAAGGGGCAGGAGCAACAGCTAAAGTTTGTTGTAATTTATCGTATAAACAAAAATAACCACAGTTTGAAGTCTAATATACAAAAGGATGACCTAATCATAGGTCTATAGTCTATTACGAGAGCGAAGAACCACAGAAAAAACCATTGGTAGTCGTTCGCTTGACAAAAACAACCAACAGCTCCACTTAGTTGTCTACATTCTCAGTCAGTCAGCCACAACGTAGAACATACGTAGGTACATCAGTTCAAGTTGCCGTAAAACATCAGTAAAGGGATGCAATTGTCGATCCGAATGCCAAAGTGGTAGAGGTAGTAAAGGTATGAGCAATAATAGGAAAGATTAAGGTTTGAAGATGTTATTCACGGAGCATAATCTAGTAAATAAATTCTCCGAACCCTAATCTTCTACATTACCTGTAATACTTCCACTATCTCTACCACTATGGGGTTTGAACTGACAGTTGCGTCTCTGTGCTAATGAGGTAAGGCAACCTGAAATTATTTACTTAGGTACGAAGTTCTGCATTGTGACTGACTGAGGGAATACGAAGGTCGTCAGGGATTTCAGTTAGAATTTAGAGCACTAAGAGTGGATGCACTTGCGTAAATGATTTTCAGCCATTTCCTTCACATTTTCTAACCATCGGTTATTATTGTCTCGCCGACCACAATCAGATAGTCTATGCTTACCAATATCACTAAATCCACTTGTCAGTGACTCGATAGATTTGTGCCAAGTTATGGTCTGGCCAACCCTAGCTTTGTTTCAGCCTACAACTACATCACAAAACATTGCTCACCGAAGTAGTCAGTGGTTGGGCATACGTAACACATGTCCCAACCACCTAAACTGATAAAGTTTCAATACTTCATCTACTGATCGGATATCCTTACCCAGTATAACAATTTCCTAATAACAACATTGGTTACCCGGTGGTCCATACCACATTAGTAAAGAGACACAAATGTCAATTCAAATCACATAGTAGTAGAGGTAGTAAAAGTATGAGAAGTAATCGGAGAGATTTGGGTTTAAAGGTGTTATTCAAGAAGCATAATTCAGTGAGGTAAATTTAGAAAGATAGAGGTGATGAGGAATTCATAAGGTTAACGTTTCAGAGAACACAAAGAATAAACGTACCTGCGCCATTGTAAACGGTTTTGAGCCATGTCATTCAGGGTATCTAACCATCGATTAATATATTTTCGCGAATCCCAACCAGGTAATCGACACCTACCGACATCACTTAGTCCACTTTTCAGTGACTTCATGGATTGCTGCCATGTTTTGGTTTGGCCGCCCCTAACTTTCTTCCAACCTATTCCTACATCGCAAAATATAGCTCGACGAGGCAGTCGGTGGTTAGGCATACGTAACACATGTCCCAACCACCTCAACTGATGAAGTTTCATTACTTCATCTATTGACCTGCCATCCTTACCTAGCACCCATTTCCAAATAACAGCATTGCTCACTCGGTTGTCCCAGGATATACGAGCAATGCTTCGAAGACACCTGTGATCGAAAACAAGTAACCTACGAATACCTTCTACTCTCACTGGCCATGTTTCACAACCATAAAGTAAGACGGAGAGACCTACTGCACAGTACACTCATCCTTTAGTCAGCAAACGGATATCTAGTGACGCAGGTTGGCGAAAGCTAAGTTCCCGTCAGTCACCAGGCCATCAGCACTGATGAGACCCCCAAGGTAAGTGAAGCGGTTTACACGCTCAACTACTTCACTTACTTACTTACTTACTTACTTTCGCCTGTTACCCCCAATGGAGCATAGGCCGCCCACCAGTTTTCTCCAACCAACTCTGTCCTGGGCTTCCCTCTCCAGTTCTGTCCAATGTTTGTTCATTCCTCTCATATCTTTCTCTATTTCTCGGCGTAGTGTGTTCCTTGGCCTTCCTCTTTTCCTTTTGCCTTGAGGGTTCCATGTGAGGGCTTGTCTAGTGACGCAGTTGGGTGCTTTTCGTAGTGTATGTCCTATCCACTTCCACCGCTTCTTCCTGATTTCCTCCTCCATTGGAATCTGACTTGTTCTCTCCCACAGTTCGTTGTTGCTGATGGTGTCTGGCCAACGAATACGAAGTATTTTGCGTAGACAACTGTTAATAAACACTTGTATCTTCTGGATGATGGCTTTGGTAGTTCTCCATGTTTCCGCTCCATACAGTAGAACTGTTTTGACATTTGTATTGAAGATCCTGATTTTGGTTTTGTTTGAAAGTTGTTTGGAGTTCCAGGTATTTTTCAACTGTAGAAATGCAGCCCTTGCTTTGCCAATCCGCGCCCTCACATCTGCGTCCGATCCACCTTTCTCGTCGATGATGCTGCCAAGATATGTGAAGGTGTTAACGTCCTCCAAGGTATCTCCATCAAGCGTGATTCGGTTGGTGCATGTTGTGTTGCATCGGAGAATTTTGCTTTTTCCTTTATGTATCTTGAGACCTACTGCTGCAGAGGCTGCTGCTACACTGGTCGTCTTCTCTTGCATTTGTTGTTGAGTGTGCGATAGAAGAGCCAGGTCATCTGCGAAGTCCAGATCGTCCAGCTGCGTCCTAACTGTCCAGTTGATACCGTGCTTCCCTCCACACCTTATTACTATTTCAGGTACCGATGCGACCCAATCTTGGAGCAACATTTTGCATCTCAAGGAGGAAAACCGCATCCCGAACATGCTTGCATTGTTGCTCAGGGTAATCAGATGACTGCATTTTGTCGGCGTCTTCACCAAATAGAACTATGTCGTCGGCATATTCTAGGTCAGTAAGCGATTTTCCTGGTTGAAGGTCCACTCCTGAAAATTCAGACGAGGATAAGGTTATATCTAGCAGCATATCTATGAATAAATTAAACAAGAATGGGAAAAGTGGACATCCCTGACGGATACCATTTGAAGTGAAGAATTCCGGTGACAATTCGCCATAAGCTCTCATTCGACCAGTGGTGTTTGAGTAGAGAGCTTGTATAAGGTTAATTTACTTCTTTGGTACATCTTTTAATGACGAGACTGCCAAGGAATCTCACGATCCACAGAGTCAAATGCCGCCTTAACGACCAGGAACACACCTATTGTAGGACGCCTAAATGTGTCTGTGTTCCAGGACCTGTCGTAGAGTTAAAATGTGGTCTATACAGCCACGTCCAGATCTGAAACCAGCCTGGTTTTCTCTAGTCTGCTCTTCACGAGCTCTAGTTAGGCGTCTACGGATAATCGAAGCTATCCATTTAGAAACTATATTAGTTAGACTGATTCCCCTCTGATTGTCGCACGAAGACTTTTGTCCTTTCCTATAAATTGGGACAATCAGGTATTGAGACCAGTCAGATGGGATTACGTCTAGTCTCTAGATTCTACCTAAGACCTCAATCTACCTAGCTGCTAAAACCTGACCACCATCGTTGTGAAGACGTTGTAGGTCGCCAGGTCAAAAGATGTTTTTCCTTATGTCTAAAGTTAGTGTTTGCAAGAAATAAGCAATTATCTGAACATAGTTGCAGTAGACGGTCGCCATTATCTGTTTTATTAGCCGCGACACCATAAGATTCAACCAGGTAACTTTCTTTTTCGCTGAGTCTACCTCGTTGAGCGTTAAAGTCACCATTACTATACTGTATCAGATCGCCTAACGTTTTGGAGGAGGTCTGAAACCTTTCGGTTAAACTCGTCTTTCACCGCGTCTGAACTGCAGTGAGAGGGAACGTAGGCAGTTACGACGAAGAGGCAACGGCAAGTTGTCCTACCCTTCCGAGTCCTTACTGTCCCGTTCAGTCAGACAGCGCACAAGTGACTATCTACTGGGATCCAGTCAAAGAGAGATAGTTCTGCCCAAGGACTCAATGCTATACCTACACCAGCGAGACCCCAGGAAGCAGCATCAGGGCTCCCAGATACACGAAGCGTAAATCGAGTTGCTTTTTTATCTTGACATGGTGAGGTCAAGTGAATGACGCTGCTCGGATCCTGTATGCGCGTTTCAGAGATGCAGCATACATCGATTGCACGGAATTCCAGAGCTGTAGCTAAGGAAGCCTGTTGCCCTATTTGGCATAGGGTCTGAACACTAAAAGCTGCCATATGTAATATAGTACGGGGTTTCAAAAGATCAAGAATAACGTTTTGAGGCGCGAGGTGATAAATGACTAAAGGAAGAGTTGGTCGAAGAGATAAGAGAGTTATTCAGAGGTGTAGAAAGGATTTGATTGTGACCAATTCGGTCTCATGTGCTTTTATGGGTGAGGGCGATTTTCTTCACTAAAGTCTTAGAGCCTCTCATCCTAATGAAGAAATTGCTAAGTGAAGATACTCACTCAGTGTCTGACACAAAACGAAGAAGAAACTCTGAGTGTAATAACTAGTGCTGTTAGCTCGGTTCTTACGCGTAATCGAAAGGCTGACTGTCATCATTGACATGCTTGGGGAGGAAGAATTCCTCTTTCAGACGTTACACTTAATAAAGCACACGAAACTCTTAACTCGAATACTAGTCAGGCTGACCACTTCAGGATCGAATTAAATGGTAGAATTCTCTTACTGGGTTAAAAACACCAAAGCAAATTGGAGAAAAGACCTTATAATTTAGGGTTCCCGCAAAGTGAGCTCTTGGGAGACAATGCTTCCGAGATTAATCAGCTACAACGTAGAACTTCGTACATAAGTTCAGGTTGCCA